GGAAACAACATTGAAAGCTTCTGGCCCCCGCGTAGCAGAGGTAACCTTTCTAGTTAGTAAAAAAAATTGATTTCTTTTTATCTAAAACCGTTGTGCTTTTTTTACTCCCTTTTGTTGCCCTGCATAAGTGAACCCTTTTTGATACTATAAGTGGTATGCCACATTTGCCCCCTATCATTCACAAATCAGAAATTAACTTGTATAAGAAAATTATCATTTTAACCTCACAGCTTCTGGTGCAAATGGTGCTATTATATATATATATATATATATATATATATATATATATATATATATATATATATATATATATATATATATATATATATATATTCACAAGAGGGTTGGTGAACAGGAAGGTTTTTAGATTTAGATTTATGCCACAAATTTCTCTGGGTTTTAAAAATTTGCCACAACAATTTTTTAATGTTACACTTGCCTCCCTTATTATCTTCCACCGCCTTGCCTCACCAATCATATACAAATGCAAGAAACCCCTTCTCCAACCTTCTTCTACCTTCCTTCTGATTTATTTCTCCGTCTTTGTTTTCTCCATTTCGACCTCCTGCCTCCCAGTCAAGTGAATATACCGGATAGAGATACCGAGCGACAGAAACAACGGGAGTGAGAGATGAGACTGTGGCGGATTTTTCCGGAAAGGGTAGCAATTCCGGCGAACATCTGTTGTTCTATGCTTCTGTCGACTTTACATAAAGCTGCGATTTTGGTGTGTATTCCTGCCATACATCGTGTAGGTAAGTTTCTAGCCTCATGCATGTTTTTTTTTGGGTTCGATTCTACTCATGGCCTCCACCGGCAACAATGGTTGCCGGATTCTGCCACCACACCATCACCGCCCAAAGGGTGACTGTAATTGGGTTGTTGTTTAGCCATGAGGTTTTCTACTCTGTCTTGACGGGGTTCAATTGCAAGTCTACACCTAAATCATGACTATGTGATTTTAATCACTTGGTTTTCTATCTAAAATTAAGTCATTATCTCTAAACTAGCAAAATCCTAATTTCCATTCAAAGAATCTAATAACCGAAAGTCCTTTGCAAAAACTGAGATTTTATTTTTGAAAGAAGGGGAACATGAACATCACCTGGAAATTTAACATTGTCATTCAGGTTCAAAAAGATTCAAATGTAAAAAATCGTTTTTGTGAATTGGAAAATTTAGAGGAATTAAAGAAGTACATGTTGGACTCTGTACTATCCTAATTGAAAAAAAAAGTAATTTACATTATAATCACCTGAAGAAACTGATTATTATAATTTGATTTATGATTATTGTAATAAAATTGTGTAGCAACAGGTGAAACTAAATGGTAAAAATCTGCCTTCATAGTTACATGTCTACAGAGCAACAAGAGGCCTGAAGCTTCGAGAATAGCGGATGAAGCAAGGACAACGTGACACAGAAGGATGACGAGAGCGAACGGGATAAGAACATCATGTTGCGACCATGTTTAGATTGGTTTCCTTCATCCTCTTATTAAGTGTGTATGCTTGTCTTATTAGACTTGATTGTGTGCAAAATCTAATGGCTTAAACTCTTTGTCTAAAGCCTTAAAGCATATGGTCAATTTGACAGTTTTAATATGGTTCATATCCTTACATTTTATTCATCTCGACTTCAAGGTCTAATGGTAAGTACCATTGTAGAGAGGTAAATGGGTTGGAAGTTAAACTTTTATTTTATTTATATGCTTTTTTTATGTTGGACTTTATTTTCAACATCATGATCTTATGCCATTTAAAAATTCGATTTGTGCAGGTTAAGCATCCTACTTGGCATGCAAAATTTCCATTTCCCCCCTACAGACACTTTTTGGAGTTAACTCTTACTATTTACATTGCTTGTAAGTAACGTTTTGATTTAATTGGATGAAATAACTGCACAAAGAGGTTAATATTTCTTACAACCTTCTGGAATTAGATGAAGAAAGTAAGTTTCAAATCTCTCCCATCATTTTCTTTTTCTTCCTAACCTTTCTCTCTTAATTGCAATAAAACACTTAAATATTGTCAATTGAAAAGAATAATGTCGACAAGATAATACACATCTGACATGATTTTGTTTAATTGCATTTACAACAAAAGAAAATTATTTAAATACAAATATAACTTAAAAAGTTAGTTAATCTTAGCTATTAAATTCCATTCCATTTTGTAGGTAACCTCGTCTTATACAATCTTGAAAACCACACTCTTGGATGGACCGAATTAATTGTGAGTTTTGATTTTCTTTTGGGCAAATTGCATACAATAGCAACATACTTGCATCTTTATAATAAATTACATATTTGCAATCATCGGTAAAAGAAATTATAAAGCACTTAGTCTTAAAAAAATGATCGTTGCCTTTAATAACCCTTTTAACCGCTTCATTGGCAACATAGATGTGGTAAAGGGTAAAACTGGTAATTGGTGGTAATCTTTTTTGACACAGGGACCTTTCATGCATGCTTGTGCTGTTTTTTTTTTCCACGTAAAAGCAGTTGTAGCATGAACACGAGATTTGGAATTGTAGTCAGATATGGATAGAAATTTGGACCAAAATACCCCTACTGTAGCATTAAATGCAAGAAATTTTTATTTCTTATTTTAAGCTTTACACTTTCAATTTTTTTTTTCTGATTAACACATTGTGCTTTGAAAAATCATTTCAGTTATATATATATATATATATATATATATATATATATATATATATATCTTATTAGGACATTATACTTTGAAAAATGTACCCACTTATAGCATTGTACTTTCAATATTTTGTTCTTTGAAAAATGTACCCATTTACACATTCAACATTGCGATAAGTAGGTTGAATTTTCAAAGTACAATGTTATAATAACACAAAAAAAGTAGGATGCTATAGTGAACAATAATTGAAAGAATGTTGCTATTTTTTCCCAATGATATCAAAATCAGCGCCAACGGCGCCATTGACTTCCTTCTAGTTATACATTATAGAGCAGAACCCGAGAGTTGTAGCATAGTGGATACACATAATCTCTTCTTACAGTGGGGCCAGTATCTTGATGGGACCACTGATATAACACGAAAAGTTCATTTTTGTCAACCTTCTCAAAGACAAAAAGAATGCTTCACCCGAATTCTCCAGGTGCTCAATTTAGGGTTGTGCTATAAGTACCCCCTTAACCATTTTTACCCCCCTTAAAATTTAATCAAATCAAAATTTTGACATTTGATTTGACATTATTTTTTTTTCTTTTTTTGTCTTTTGTTGTTTATTTTGTTTTCCAATTTTGTTTTTTTAATTCTTTTTTAATTATTATTATTATTATTATTATTATTATTATTATTATTATTATAAATTTTGCATAAAATTTTAACATTCGGATGACATTATAAATTCGAGTGGCTATATTAATATTAAAATGCTTTCAATCCGCATATCGCACCACACAATTGTAATACTGTACCAATTAATATCCATAATTAATAGGGACAAACTTTGAATTGTTCCGATTTTATATAGTCGTTCAAATTTATAATGTTCGATTTATAAAATGTTATTCGCAATTTTTAATAATAATAACAATAAAAATAATAATATTAAAAAATAAAAAAATATATTTAAAAACCGATTTTACATAGCCGTTGGAATTTATAATGTCGTCCGAATGTTAAAATTTTGTGCGGAATTTATAACAATAAAAATAATAATATTTAATATAATAATAATAATAAGGTTAATATTAATAATAATAATAATAATAAATTAAAAAAGAATTAAAAACAACAAAAAAACAAAATAGGAAAAAGACAAAAAAAAAAAAAAACAACAACAAAAACAAAAAATCAAATCAGAATGTGGGGTCCTTATAGAAAACCCCAATTTTTATTAAAGTTCTTTTAATAGTTTTGATTTAGTCATTTATATAAAATATAAAAAATTTCAGGGTCATATATCTCTTTTAAGGCTGAAAGGAGTCGGCCGCTAAAAACGCTCGCTAAGCATGCTACACACCGCCCCTAGCGCACGCTATGAAGCTCGCTACCGGTGAGTCGCTAGGAGTATAGCGAGAGGAGAAAGAGAATTTGGCTTGCAGTGATTGGTGATCCCATTTCACATTTGGCAAATTCATAAAAAAATCCCTCCGTTCTTGGCAAATGAGAGGTGTCGAAGCTTCAATTTTTGTTGCTAAAACTTGTTGCGTTAAAACTTGCTGCGTTTAAACCTGCTGTGTTTAAACCCGATATTGGATTGGGGAAGAGAATTAGCGAAGAATATAAAGAATTTACATATTTGGTCCCCAAAGTTTCGGTAGTTTAGTATTTTTTGTTCAAATACAAAATCCAGTATGTTTTAAATTAGTGTAACATTTTTTATTTAAATATTAAGTGTTTGTATTTAAAAAAATAGAATTTTTGTAATATTAAATGTTTGTGTATTAAAAAAATATAATTAATTAAATTTGAAAAAGAAAAAAAATGAAATGCTAGGAGTGTTAACACTCCCTATGAAATGCTAAGAATTAGGTTTTAAGACAAAAAAATGATGTGGCACTAACAAAAGTGACATGGCAAGGTATTAAGAGTGTTACCACTTCCTCTGGCCTAATAGTTTTTTTTACTCCCTTTTGCTGCCCCACACAAGTAAAAAAATCAACTTACTGTTCATGGCTTTCTCCACTGCTCCATTTTACGAACCCTTTTTGTAGATTGCCTTGTGCCGGAGACAGTGGTCCGTCCAGTTAGGGGTATAAACGAGCCGAGCCGAGCCCGAGGCTGACCAAGCTTGAGGTCGGCTCGTTTAATTTTGAGGAAGCTCGAGCTCGAGCATTAAAATGAAGCTCGAGCTCGGCTCGTGATCAATTTAGTGGGCTCGCGAGCCTAATCGAGCCTAAACGAGCCCCTCTCTCTATATATATATATATATATATATATATATATATATATATATATATATATATATATATATATATATATATGTGCTCGTTTAAGTTCGTTTAAGCTCGCGAGCCCATGAATTGAAGCTCGACTCGAGCTCGTTTAATAAACGAGCCTCATATTTAGGCTCGAGCTTGGCTCATGCTCGTTTAATTCGATCTCGAGTCGAGATTTTAACGAGTCGATTCCGAGTAGCTCGACTCGCTTACAACCCTAAGTCCGGTTGCCGCGTTTTCCACAAACCGCCGCTTCTATCTCCTTCTATCAGCTCCATGTACCTACTGCTTCGATCGTCTGGCGTATCTCATGAATTTTGTGGTAAGAATCACGATTTCAGGTAATTTGTTTATCCTCTTTCATTCTTTCTATGTTATGTGGCTGGTGCTTCGAAGCCCTAAATCCATCTTCTCTTTCTTATCTCCACGAAATCAAATCAATGACTTGACTTGCCGCAGGAACAAAGGGGAAGTAGAAAACACCGACTCCGCCTCTACCTTGATGAACTTCTTGATCTGAGCCCTAAATAAATTCCAACCACACTTACAATCGACCGACATAGGATTAATGAGATCATGAGAAGAATAGAGGTAATTCGAAGTTAAAGTTTTACCTTAATTGATGAAATTAACAATATTGTACATATTATGTTCTTTGTTCGAAAATAAAAGTATTGGTTTGATTGTTTGTATGGGTACGATTTAGTGTTACTATGTTAAAACTATGCCCTGTTTCAATTTAGGGTTTGTAAAGTCTTACCGTATGCTCTATTGCAATAATAGATTTCAGATATGTATCAAATTTAGATGTAATATTTTCCTTTCAATATCGTGCTTTGCATCTTGGGGCATCTTTCTGATTTTTGAATTTGCTTTCCCGATCTGTATGCTTTTTACATCCCCCCCTCCCACTCAAACATGTACTCTGTGTATGTTTGTGTGTTTATATGTTTATCTTTATGCTTGCGTTTATTTATGCCAGTTCATGAATTAATATTGATTGGAAATTAGGCTGTTTTTGTACTTCAATTCCACAATCAACATGAAAATGTCGTAGTACCCTTGAGAATCTTTCATAGGTCTTCTTTCTAAATGATTCATTGCATTTATCTATCCAGTCTCATGGATTGGAATTTGTTTTTGTGCCAAATTTAGCATCCTCTTACTATTTATAATCCCCCACCCAAAAAAAAGATTTTTTTATCTTTATTTTGGAAGATGTTTGTGTTCTTCTATCATGTTGTGTCAGAAAGTATCGATATAGCATTACTTTTATTACTCTTGTGGTCATCAGTCTCTTGGTTAATAAGAGGGAAAATGTTGACAAATTACATGTAAATGATTCAGAAACATCATTACAGATTGTAAAAATTTATATCCTTAATTCACAATTTAATACTATTCAGAACATTGTTATGCAGAGGTGTCAATTGATCTTTATACAAATACACGTCTCTTAAAGTCCATGAAATTGGACCTTGATTATATATTTCAAAAGCTGAGGCTGGTTTACAAGTTACAAAAAGTTGCAATCTTTCTAATTGTAGCATTTAACCCTAAATCAATAGTTTATTTTTCTTTCAGGAGTTTAACAGCAAAGATTACAACCTTATGTTCATATTTCTTTTTGTTTTTTCCAATGTCATAAAATTGGATAATCTATATAGGTAGTTTATTTACTATTGATATCGTTGCTAACTTATTATGGTTACCATCTAACAGGTGTTGGGAAAAATGATTTCCGTAATTGCCCTTATTCTCAAGCAAAGTTCTCCTCTATATTTTATAGCAAGCAGTAGTCTTTAAACCTTAAAGAAGTCATCCATATTTTAAAAACGAGTCATCCACATTGCTGAAAAGGTGAACGTTGATATATTTTTGTTTCTTTACCAATCTGGTCAAGGAATTCAATTTTTTTCCATAGTTATGAGCTTTTTACTTCTTTTATTCTATTATATGCTTTAAATCAGGTTTTTTTGTGACTTTTATTTTAATTTTCTATCGTATGAAAAGCTTTCAGACATCTGGCAGGAAGTTGACAAATTCAATATGTTTCACCCCTATGCATGTATGTGGTAGTTCGATCATTGGTTCTTTATTTTTATTATTATCATTTTTTGTCTAAAGAACTCAAGAAAATACCACAATTAATGTATGGTCTTATGAGGGAAAAACACTAACTGAGAGTAAGTTCTTCCTTGAGCAGTTCATTCAAAATCTAGAATCTTAAAACAGTACAATTGGTTGGTGTTTGTTTTCAATGTCGATATCAAGGTACTTTTAGTTGCTTCACTTTCTGTTCTAATTTACTTCTACAATTTCATTGTGAGTATGCAAATCTATATTTATATGTTTTTATATTATTTGATTGTATCCCTGAATCATATGTTCGTATATGTGATGTTGCCTTTAAAATATGCAGCAACAGTTGAAAGGGATCGGATCTTGTGTTGATAACAGCAGGAATGTGAGGTGGGACAGACTTTGGAGCTACTCCAGTTGTGCCCATACAGCAAAAGAAGCAGGATATTTGTTCTATTAGGAGTCTATAAACACTTGAAATTGTTTCAAGGTTATGAGTTATTTACCCTTTTGGCATGAATCTAACAACCAAATGTTATGTTTCTTGCAGCAAATCTTCAATCTTTTCACCTACATACCAGTGAGGACTGTTATGATAATGGGCCAGAGGAGGGACCTTGGCATCTTCTTTAGTGGTAAACACCTCTAATCCAATTACCATGAGGATTCATGTTCTATTTAAATCTCTAGTTGGTCAAAAATTAGAGATAGAATGAGATTTCATACAAGAGACTTTAATGTTAATCAAGTTGTTTATAAATTTGATTTTGCAGGTTGTCTCGTTTTTGTTGAGCATCTATGGTTGTTTGTGTATTTGTATTGAATATTCAATTTTGATGATTAGGGAACCATGTAAAAGGATTTTTATTTATGTAATATATCTATAACAATTGTAACACCTGTTCCAGGTATTATTTAATTTATCTAATTTTTAGGGTTTTGTGCATGGACTCGGGGAGTTGGGGAGCTCCAACTCGTCGAGTAGAGGTTACTATGAGGACGCGAGACTTCAGACCTACTCGACGAGTCGGAGGACCCGACTCGACGAGTAGGCACTGTAAAGAGAAACCCTAATTTTCAAGGGTTTGTACCCTATTTAAAGAACTTATGGCTCATTTGCAGCCTCTTCTATCATTCCTACAGCTAGAGAAACCCTAGTTTGAGCCTTGCACCTTCTTGAGTGAGAGAGAGATAGAGAGCTTTTGAGAGTGATTTTGGTGTGGTTGTGAAGGATTTTTGAGCTTGAAGAAGAAGGAGCAAGGAGAGAAGCAATAGATCCGACATCTACTATGTATTGGCAACCATCTTGAGGTATAAAGTCACTATCTTGATCTTTAGTTGCTTAGATTCCTTTTCTTTGAAGTAAATGGTCACTTTTGGTGCCAAAAAGGATGTCATACTCGGATTTGGACTTATCACAAGGATATGGTTCCAAATCTGGACATCTCTAGGTCCTCAATGACATAAAGTTGCTCACTTTATCCATCTTAGGCCCTTTCCATGCACTAAAACCTTGTAGGAAGCTTAGTTTTGATGTTTTAGCCTTGTGAGACCTTGCATGCACGTAAAGTTTGCAAGTTTATGTGGTAACTACACTAGGGGAGGTTGGATCTGAAGTTTGGGGCCTTGGATCCCACTGGAAAGGACTGAAGGAACTCGTCGAGTCCCTTAGTCGAATCAACGAGTCGGGTAGGGTTTACCCGTTTTCGAGATTCTGAATGAGTGCAGTGAAGGATTAGAGTTTTGGTCTGCATGGACTTTTGGTTTTCTGGACATTTGATGAACTCGACGAGTCACTTAGGTGACTCGGCGAGTTGACTCGGGATTCAGTGGAATGGACTCGGGAGGAACTTGACGAGTTGCTGGATGCACTCGACGAGTTGAGGTCAACATGGACTGTTGACCTTGACTGTTGACTTTGAATTTGACCAGGGTTGACTTTGAGGGCGTTTAGGGTATTTCGGGATTTGTGACAAGTTAATCACATGATGATTATAGGCAGTTGAGTTGGAGTAGTGCGTGAGACTTATCTGATTTTATCTTGTCAGTTCAGCCTTCGCGAGAGGCGAGTCTTCTCACCATACCAATAGGTCTAAGGCACCAAGGCCGACCCATTTTATGATATGTGGATTGTCGATTGATTATGCGTTATGTTAGTATGCCATTTGCAAGGAAGACCCCAGGGGGTTCCCGTAGAAGTAGACTGAGACCACGTGGGGGTTCCCATGACATTTGGTGTAAGACCTTGGAGGGATTCCATGGCATCCTATTATATTTGCATGTTTAGTTTGTATGATATTTGCTTGGTAGTGAAGACCATGTGGGGGTTCCCATGGCAGGTAGTTAAGACCACGTGGGGGTTCCAGTGGCACTATATGTAAGACACTGGAGGGTTTCCATGGCTTCCTTATATGTTTGTATGCATGGCTTATGTGATATATGAAGCTTTTATAGCTAATATGATATGTGTTACGTAAATTGTGTATGGGTATGCTCTGGGGAACTCACTAAGCATTAGCTTACAGTTTGTGGATTTGTTTCAGGCACTGAGCCCAAGGGCAAGGGCAATGCTTGATGGCACAACATGTACTCTATCCCCGACATTTTTATGGGACACTGATGATTTGAAATAATATTGTTATTGTTAAGAATTTGAAAACAATTGTATTGAGATTTTATGGTTTATTGAAAGTATTTTTGACTATTTAAAAATGAATTTTTTTTTTTGAAAATCGGGTCGTTACAAGTTGGTATCAGAGCCTTAGTTTGAGGGATTCGGGCACACTCTCGGGTGTGTCAGGACTCAAACTAAGGAAATGGTAAAATTGTTTTCAAAAATAAAAGTTAAAAACTTTTTAAGTGGAAAAGAAGAGAGTGCAATGCGCGTGATCGGCCGAGCCAAGTAAGTAATTCCCCAATATGTTAGCCATGTTATATTGATATTTGAGTTATGATAATCGTATGGATCTTGCTATGTGTATGCTTTTAAATTGTATACGGTTAGGAGCTTATAGCCTTAGAATGATTGATTTGGCCTTATTTCCTGTTCCTTGTCTGGTTGTGGTCCTACGATAGAATCTCTTATTCGAAATTCTATTTGATCCTTTTCTGTGTATAATTTGCATGCATAAAGGCAACCTGTTATGATTGGTCTGATTGATGTGGGTAGAGCAAATCTTAGGATAACCTAGGATTTGAGTGATGATTGTAGCTTGTGGGATACGTTTTTTATGGGACGAATTGGAGTTATCCGATAGAGCCTTGGGGAAGGTACAGGTAGGTGTGGAAGGTAGTATTGGGCCCGTACTACTGAAAGCACTGGACCTATACCCGAACTGATGTTCGATCTAGAAGCTCTAAGGAGGACCGGTGTGGGAGGCTCCCTTTTTGGATATCCTGATCATTATGATTTATGACATTGCAGTTCAGTATGGTGGTGACACGACATGGAGCTGGGGGATCAGGATCGGGATCTGGATCTGGGTCGGGCGATGGTACCGAGCCCATTGACCAGAGGTTGTGTGAGCTCATTGCAGCCGAGTTTACGAGGGGGCATCCTTGACGCTACCAGAGTTATCTTTGGGACAGTCAAGGAGGGTATGATGGAGATCATGGAGGAGAGGATCAGGGCATTCAGAGCCGATATTGTTGCGGGCCAGGTCGGGGCCCGTTCCGAGAGTTCAAGGCGTGCGGGGTGCAGGAGTTTTTCTGGGTCAGGGACCCCATTGTTAGTCGACGATGGGTGGCGGATATAGAGAACGCCCAGTGTACAAGTTGTCACAACTGGCAAAAGAAAATTAGGTTAAGATGTGAATTCCTAAACAATATAAATTCCTTGTATAAGCCCAAAAACTCGATCCAATAAGCCAAATCCAAGCATTTTTGGGGCCCTAGCCCAAGAATTTTCGACCCAAATCCCTTAATTGGGCCACGACTTCTTTATTGGGCCCTATTGGGCCGATTACCTCTTCACTTAGCCTTATTGGGCCAAAAGCCTTTTTAAACCTTATTGGGCCGATAACACTTCTTTTGGGCCTTCCTTTGGGCCGAAAACCCTATAGGGTTTGGCTAGGACTTGTGTAAAAAAAAGAAAGGGGATTATCCTAATACTTGACACCTCATTAAAATATGTTGTATATCTATGCAAAAAACCCCCATATATCTAGGTTCAAGATGTTGAACTTTCATGTAATAACCACTAAACTAATCCTTCCTATTCCCCATCTTAAACTCTCGGCCACAACACATCACACTCACTCACAAAAATAAAATTCCAATTTACTCTCCAAACACTCCCAAATCCTCCCATTCTCCCTCAAAAATTTCAAGATCATCTTCAAGGAAGGAGCCTTCTTCAAAACTCACAAACTAGGTAAGATCTTTATGAAACTCAAAGTGTTTGTTTCATGTTTGTTCTTAAGATCACTCCATTCGCCCACCATTTTCGTGTGTATGACTCTTAGAACTCCATCCAATTTCGAGTGATCTTCAAAACTACACCAAGCTAGGTCCAACAACTGCTTTCTTCTCATTTTACCACTTGAAATCTTCAAGGTGAGTTCATACCCCCTATTTTTAGTTTTTACTAAGTTTTGGGGGAGAATACAAGTTGTTTTGTGTAGATCTATGTGTATATGCATGACTATGTGTGTTTTTCATGATTTATTTGGTGATTATGTGGTGTTTACTTCATAAATCTAAAAATATGTTAAAAATATGAAGTTTATCATTTAGATCTTCATAAAAACTATGAGAAAAGTATATGTTGTCATGTAAACTTGCAGATCTGAGATTTATACACTCAAAATAGCAAAAACAAGTGTTGTGTTCAAAATCCCATAACCTAAACTCAAAAATCAGCTTTTAACAGAAAAGTTTTGGTCTAGTTACGGACTGTTTTGACCAACTTTATGGTAATATTTTTCAAAACTGTTTTACATGCAAAAGGTTCAGGTTTATACCTTTAAAATGGCTACTCTCACGCATTCATACGATTTTTCTACAATTTTTGACGATTTTTACAAAACTGCCTATCATTTCAGGAAGTATTTCGGACCAGTATGTGAAGATGAACATTTTCACATTGGTTTGAGATCACTAAAAATTATAATAAAAATTATGAAGAAAGTAGAGTCATTTTCTAAACTCTCAGAGTTGACGGATCCAAATTTCGACTTACAATGATTTTTCTATAATTTTTCTAAAAATAGAGACGTAAATGCCAAAAATCAGAAAATTGTTTTAACTTACTAAAAGTGTTTATACGTTTGTTAGATGCAAGTTTATATGACTTATACATACTTTTAAATAATCTAGACATGTTAACTTATGTACATTTAATATATATGATTACAAAAGTGGTATTTTTAAGTCAATTTGACAAATAATTGAACTAATACTAGCAATAAAATAACAAACGGACTAATTTTGCCATTCGTATAATATTGGGCTTTAGTAGCCCATTAATATGCTTGATAGGTCCTGAATACTATTCATATGTTTATTGGGCCTCACTGACCCATTAACATGCGCGCCGGACATTGGATACTAATTTCGTGCTATTTGGGCTTGTAAATACCTTACATGTGAAATGGGCCTTAGTTGTCCTTTTACATATATTTTGGGTCCATGTTATAGAATCTCATTCCTTTCGGGCCTGAAAATGAATCATGTGTTTAGTGAGACTTAGTGGTCTGCTTACATGGTTCATTGGGCCCGGAATGAGTTTATATGTTTCTCTTCGCGTAAAATTTGATTAAGGATCTAGTGAGACGTGTCGGTTAACACATATTGAGTGTACGATCGTAGCCTGTAGTTATAATCAGAGTCTGTTGGAGGGAGAGCGGGGTTTTGTGTATAGATCTATACGGGGATGACACCCCACACCTGAGTTGTTCACTACAGATAGACTACATTAGTCTAATGTGACGATAACCTTAATCTATTTTTCCGTCGGTGTCCACCAACGCCAAGACAGACGAAATTGTCATTAGTTAGTATGGTTATGACGGCTCACTTAGAGGAATTAACATTATGAAATTTACGGGAGACTATTCTTTTCTTCTTTTACAG